ATTAAGAGCGATGTAGCGTTGATATTCGTTTTTCCGCTGCGAATTGACATTGGTGCTTGGGGTTGTAGGCGCACCCCTATGCTAACAGTAGCCGGATACAGTAGGGATCTTGTTGCTGGGAGGGGGCTACTTGGAAAGNATCGCCCTTTTTAGGTGTCATTAAGAGCGATGTACATGTAGCGTTGATATTCGTTTTTCCGCTGCGAATTGACATTGGTGCTTGGGGTTGTAGGCGCACCCCTATGCTAACAGTAGCCGGATACAGTAGGGATCTTGTTGCTGGGAGGGGGCTACTTGGAAAGGAGTAGCGCAAATGTCTTACATTTGTAAACGCGTAGGTTTGCAATTTTGGCGACTGCTGTGTTGATTTTTGTGTGGACAAATCATTCAGCAGGATGAACCTTGGGGGCGGAGGCCTGGGGCTGGGTTTCCCTTCGTTTTTGTTTTTCTCTTTGAGTCTACTACAGTACAAGATCTTGGACTCTTTGGTTTTGAGAACATTCGTAACGATGTACAGAATCAGGGAGGGTGTTCGTGAGGTGGATTATGCAATCCTTAAGAAGGCTACTGCTGTGGTGACACTCATGTGTGGTTTTGAGCTAGATGCAATTGCGCAAGTAGTGGCTGTTACTCGTTCTTGGATCTTCGGGGTATCTCCGATCATATCTTTGACAAGTTGTCACGTGTTCTGCTGTCGCGTGTTCCGAGTTCCGAATGCGTCTTTACTACAAGGAATTTCTTGCGGCTGTTGTACGAGTGCCTCGATTTTTGTGATGCATCCTGGTGCTCACTCTCTTCCGTGGGTTGGGTCCACGAAGGCAACCAATAAAACGTGTTCACCATCTCTCCACGTTTGTCAATCGGGTCAGCCGTGCTAATCCAGCAGCACTAGGCTTGGGGCCGATCAACACAAGTAGGCAGAGAACATGAACACTTCCGGGTGAGATTGACCAAGGGAGACAGCCAAGAGTGCTTGGGGGTTGACATCGAGAAGCTGCCGAACTACGTAAGGAAGTTTGGATGGAGGGTTTGCATCGCGAACATGATAGAAACAGAGAAGGTAAGGAGACAAGAGGCGAGGGCGACGGAGGCGAAGAAAGGACCGAGCAGGGCAGTCGAACAAGCAAGTCAGAAGAAGTCC